ACTCCTATGCCTACAACTGAAGTCACCACAGCTGTAACAACTCCTATGCCTACAAGTGAAGTCACCACGGCTGTAACAACTCCTATACCTACAACTGAAGTTACCACAGATGTAACAACTCCTATGCCTACAACTGAAGTCACCACAGATGTAACAACTCCAATGGCTACAACAGAGGTTACTACAGATGAAACAACTCCGATGCTTACCACTGAAGTCACCACAGCTGTAACAACTCCTATGCCTACAACTGAAGTCACCACAGCGGTAACAACTCCTATGCCTACAACAGAGGTCACCACGGCTGAAACAACTCCTATCCCTACAACTAAGATCACCACGGCTGTTACAACTCCTATGCCTACAACAGAGGTTACCACAGAGGAAACAACTCCTATGCCTACAACAGAAGTCACCACAGCGGTAACAACTCCCATGCCTACAACTGAGGTCACCACGGCTGAAACAACTCCCATGCCTACAACCGAAGTCACCACAGCTGTAACAACATCTATGCCTACAACTGAGGTCACCACGGCTGAAACAACTTCTATGCCTACAACCGAAGTCACCACAGCTGTAACAACCCCGATGCCTACAACCGAAGTCACCACAGCTGTAACAACTCCAAAGCCTACAACTGAAGTCACCACAGCTGTAACAACTCCTATGCCTACAACTGAAGTCACCACAGCTGAAACAACTCCCATGCCTACAACTGAAGTCACCACAGCTGAAACAACTCCTATGCCTACAACTGAAGTCACCACAGTTGAAACAACTCCAATGCCTACAACTGAAGTCACCACGGCTGAAACAACTCCAATGCCTACAACTGAGGTCACCACAGCTGTAACAACTCCTATGCCTACAACAGAAGTCACCACAGCTGTAACAACTCCTATGCCTACAACTGAAGTCACCACGGCTGTAACAACTCCTATGCCTACAACAGAAGTCACCACAGCTGTAACAACTCCCATGCCTACAACCGAAGTCACCACAGCTGTAACAACTCCTATGCCTACAACTGAAGTCACCACAGCTGTAACAACTCCGATGCCTACAACAGAGGTGAATCCTACGACAATCTCGGTCCAGTGCCCCGCACTAACTGCTCCAACGAACGGTAGCCTGAGTGCTACCGGTGAGAGTTCCTACTTAGATGTGGTGACGTTCAGCTGTGACCAGGGGTACGAGTTGGACGGCAGTACCAGTGCTACCTGCCAGGGGGACGGGTCCTGGAATGCCAGTGTTCCAGACTGTAACGGTGAGAAGAATATGTTTGTAGAGTAAGTTTATAATTCAGACGTCATAGCTTGTAAAAAGGTGTATTTTAAATGTTTGTTCTTTTGTATGTCTTCAACTTTTACGAACCTACACTATAGTAACTTGGTGATGGCATGAAAACGGAGACCCCTTAAAATATTGACAATTAATAAGCAGACAAACGGTCGTTCTTCTATATTGCCTATATATTCTTTCTACAGTTCCTATATGGTCTGCTGTGAAGGCATCGATAATGAAATATCAATTCCTTTTGATGTACATATCCTATGATGATCCTGCTGTGAAAAGGCGTAAATGATATATTATTCAATTTAATCTTATATACAAGTTTGACTATTTTCACTGTCGATTCCAGCGGTCCAATGCCCGGTTTTGTCGGCCCCTGCTAACGGGACAGTGAGTCCAACCGGAGCGGTCTCCTACCCAAACGGGGTCACCTTCACCTGTAACTCGGGATACGTACTGAACGGCACCGCTGATACAACGTGCCAAGCTAACGGAACGTGGAGTCATCCTGTTCCAACATGCACACGTAAGATGAGTTTTATATTATTATTATTAAAGACACAGGTAATTTCTAGCAATTGCAGAATGTGGGTTTCTGTAACGAAATATCAACCCCATGTCATGATGCACAGCCTATTCTGCAACGGCATCCACAGGAAAATGTTATTCTGTAGCCAGATTTGACAGGTGGCGATTCTCTTACTTTCGATTCCAGCGGTCCAATGTCCGGCTCGGGCGGCCCCAGCTAACGGAGCGGTGAGTGCTACCGGAGCGGTCTCCTACCCGAACTCGGTCACCTTCACCTGTAACTCGGGATACATACTGAACGGCGCTCCTAGGCCGACATGCCAAGCTAACGGAACATGGAGTCATCCTGTTCCAACATGCACACGTAAGAGTTTTATATTATTATTATAGACACAGGTAATTTCTAGCAATTGCAGAATGTGGGTTTTTGTTACGAAATATAAATTCCATGCCATGATGCACAGCCTATTCTGCAACGGCATACACAGGAAAATGTTATACCCAGCTTTGACAGGAGGCGTTTTTTTTTACTTTCGATTCCAGCGGTCCAATGTCCGGCTCGGGCGGCTCCAGCTAACGGAGCGGTGAGTCCTACCGGAGCGGTCGCCTACCCGAACGGGGTCACCTTCACCTGTAACTCGGGATACGTACTGCACGGCGCTGTTACTCCGACGTGCCAAGCTGACGGGAGGTGGAGTCACCCTGTTCCAACATGCACAAGTAAGACCATCCGCAAGTTGAATCATATGCTAGCAATGCGTTATATTTTAATGTCGTCTTGTTGTTGTGGCTGTCAATGAAATATTGACAGTTCTTTTCCTTACTTGCCCCGGATTGTTAATATTTACAAATAATTATGTATGATATCTAGATCTTTCCATAACTTCCACACAGTAACATGTCAAAATCTTTGCCTTACTTGCGTTAGATTGTTAATATTTTTCAAATACTCGCCTGTAATATCTAGCTATTTCCATTATTACCACTTAGTAACAAGTACCCTCCAATGTCGTCCATGGCTCATCGCGTTCCAGGACAAGTGCAAAGGTGCTGTGCAGCTTCAATATTGCTGTAACGATTTTATTTACCTCTTTCTCATACGAAAACATGTAGATTGCAAATATGTATGCATTGGTTATAAATTCATTGACAACATATACATACTATTTACTTGCAATGGTTTCCACAAACTTGCTTTTTCTTGGTAGACGCTGAGCTATAAAATGCGTCTACAACATAAAGTATTGTAATGCAGTGTACTATTGAAATACTATAGTCTTGGGCTTAATTCTTGATCTTGCACATCATCACAGCTTTGCAAAGATTCTACGTCCGCCTCGTATACAATGCGAGTTACGACTATGAACCGGATAAGCATGCACCCAGTGGAGTACAGTACGAACAGAGCAGGAGAGAACACTTGCGTCACGTAAGTAAAATGTCTGTATGCTGTCCTGTACAGCTCTGTTTGTAAGAATCAACTTTAAGCTAGTTTTCATTACACCTCACAAAGACAGTGATAACCGGAAAGGCCGACATTTGTTCGGGAGGAAATACAGCATATTTCAATCCATTTAGTCCCCATTCCAAAATGGACTGTTCCATATCAATCTTTTCCATCCAGTCGGGGGTATTTGGCTACTCTAACTTCATTCCAAATTTCATTTCATTTGACAAAAAAATGAAGAATCTGAATCCATGTAATGAAATTGCAGGAGAAGAAGAAACACGAGGGAAAACATTATATTTCAGCCGTATGACTGAAATATAAAATATGTTCTTCTTACGTTATGTGGCAGGATGTTAGGTTGTGTGCCGCGGATATACACATTGTATATTGAAGATTTATTCCAGCACAATTATAAAATAGGTTTCTGGTCTTTTTACCCTACAGTTGAACTACATGGTTGATTCCATAACGGAAATTACACGATTTGGGACTCCAGGGTTCAGAAGGTTTGAGAGAGGCAGCTTGGTTAGCTTTCAGTCCCTCACACTTGTGGAGGGAGACACGCCCTTGTCACCTGTGATGCTGGAAAACCACTTGCAGACTTACATCAACGACAGTCAGCAGAACACATCATTTCCTTTTGTGGGGGCAACGGTTACAGTCACAGGTATTGACCAATATCACTCTAACTGTACCAACACTTGTACCTATATCATGTTAATCATTTGTAGTGCAACTTTTGTTCAGATTTCATTCTGATTAATGTTGGCTTTATTCTTATACTATTATGTATTCTATGTACTTTTAATTTAGTCATTGTGTCTGTTTTTCTGTTGTATTGCCATGGTACATTGGGGGCAAAAAGCAAACAAAAAAGTTTGTACTTATACCAATAAATAACATTATATGCCTCTTCTGATGGTAGTAAGACCATATGCGATTAATATCTAAAATTGGCATAGAATTGAATTTTGTATTCTGTATGTGAAATTATTATTTCTGTCAGTAGCAACAACATTTGGTCTGTAAATTGTAATGTTATAGCTAGGTATCAATATCAAATACGTGGCATAACAATTACCTATTACGCAACTGATTCCCATCTTTGAATGTTCCGTTTGCATCGTCAGATCTTGATGAGTGTCTGGAGGACATACATAAGTGTCCCCGCGGTTCTACCTGTGTGAACACACCTGGTGGATACGGATGTACCTACTGCTCACCTGAGGTGGCCATCACAGGCGGAGGGATGTCCATTCCTCGCAGCAGAGCATTCAGACTCAACGGTCGAGTTTCCGTTGGTGCAAACTGCACCGAACAGTTTGACACAACGTACAGATGGGAGGCATCGCCGCCCACAGGAAGACATATTGTCAACACGAAGGCGGATCTTCTCGTCCCTTCCAGAACACTGAAGTATGGCACGTACTTGTTCAGACTCACAGTGACGGTGAATGAGACCAACACAGGCGTTGTAGTATCACGTACAAGTAACAGCGCATTTGTGAGCATCACAGCCTCCTCCCTCGTTGCTGGTATTCTAGGTGGATTCCGTAGGCAGGTCGGCACGGGAAGAGTGACGTTAGATGCGGCCACGCTGTCATTGGACCCTGATGGCGTCCACGATCTGAACTTTCGCTGGTCTTGTAACTCAACAACTGGTGAGTAAACGTACAGGAAATTACGTCTATGATGAAAGAAAGCTAAGACATTCAGGTAGAATATTATGTAATACAAAATAAATTAACTTGATAAATTATCTAAAGAACTAGACGTTTCAGAATTCTATCTTTCATAAGCGAGAATGACTCTTAAACAAGTGCAACGTAAACTTATCTTAACCATAGTTAGCTATGGATGTCGTGTTTCCTTAGAGATAACGATGTTAGATGTACCCTACTGTCAACTTTTAAGCCTCGTTGTATATTGTGAAAATTTTACATGCCAGTTAAAATACAATACCGTTGTAACGTTAACTTGGCTCTTTTTAAATTGGCATGAGGTTTGGTATGGATTCTTCTTTCTTTCCAAAATTTGTGCGACTAATTCAACTTAACTTCTCCGCAACAAGTTCCTGAACTAATTTCCTTTCTAACTATTGTGTCTGGGGCAAATCTACGTTCTTGGATATGTAGGGACTATATCCAGAACCGTGCCTGTTCCTAACTCTAACCCATTCAGGCTTAGAACTAGATAGACACGGTTCTGGATACGATACTAACTCACGTGTGTTTACAGATGGGGTCTGTCCTGTACTAAATGTGCCGAGCGGAGGGGATAAAGGTGAACTTACTGTAAACCTCGGTCTTGAAACACTTCACAAGGAGCTTACCTTCACCGTGGAGGTGTCTGCACCAGGAAGGGACGCTGTCTCTGCGAGTCAAATCGTGGAGGTGGTTCGTTCAACCATCCCACTAACATCAATCATGTGAGTCTGCAATTCATCGAATGTGTTAATCATGTTCTGATTAAAAGTACATGGTCCATTTGATCAACAAATGTTTTAACCCAAAGTATAAGTATGGTTTTAAGGTTTCCTTTTCTAAAATTTAGTGCCCATTGGTGGCTTTGTAATGTGTTTGTGTGTGTGTCGGTATACATATTGTAATGTTAATTTGTATTTGTACTTACTACACAATTGTAAAAAATCAGTGTTATTCAGCTTGTTTGTGCATTGGCTGCAAGCCTGATTTTTATGAATAAAAAAAACTTGAAACTAAAAATTTCTCTTGTCTAAGTGTCAATCTATTATACGCTATTTTCGTCGTCCTTTGTAATGTTATAATACCAATTCAGTCCTATGGTGATATACCGAACTTTTTACAGTTGTGACACGATCTACGGAACGTGCGGTCCCAAAATCAACTCTGGAGAGAAGATGCGACTGTTCCTGGAATGCAGCAACTGTCTAGCAGGTCCCAACGCGTACACGTACCACTGGACACTTGTGCAGCGGGTACAAGGCTCGGTCACCACTTGGACGGACCAAGACTGGGACAGGAACATTCTCAACGACAGAAATCAAGACTATATTTCATTCAGGGCCGGCGTCTTCAATAGGGTACGCACAGAATCATTTTCATCAATTAACCTGCCAATGTAGACGCTGCCTTTTCCTAGTACTTGCTTTCTTTGATGTTCTTACTTTTTTTCATGTTATTACATTGTACTTTCTCTCTTTTGTTTTACAAATTATATCCAGGTCTTTGCTAGATGTAGACATAGATGTATCGATGGATAAATGAAATATATTCCTGTAAACACAAGTTACATTGTCCCTGTACTGCTTTGTTATTTAAAAAAGTACCGAAACCCATGATTAGTTCTACTCGATTGTAACACCATATAAAATGCTTTTGCTAGCCCTTGTTGCTTTAGTAATTAGGATTTTAAGTTTTACTCTAGTCTTTTTTTGTGTGTGCTATTTTTAGTAGGATCTTAAGTTTTATTCTAGCATTTTTGTGTGTGCTATGTTCAATAATCGTTGCCATACGTTGTACGATGTACAACTGTCGTGCAATAAAAATTAAAGCCTTCTATTATCGTCTTTTTTAAGCAGCAGGGGAGCTACACTGTAACCGCTAAAGTGACAGACCGTAACTCATCAGAGTCTGGCTCTTCTGACTACTCCTTCACGCTGAACGAACCGCCGACTGTCGGAAACTGCACTGTCCACGCTTCAAATACTTCCCAAGGGTTCTTTGAGATACAGTGTCGAGGTAAGGCCACACTGATTTAATTTTATGGATGACATCCTCTGAAGACCCCCAAATTAGTGCGCGCGGGCGAATAAAAAAATCCGGTCAAAATTAAAAATGCTACTAAACCGCTGGCATTGTGAATTAGCGGTAGTACTTATACGTATACGACAACCCGGCACATGCTGGCTTTTTATATAATATATGTATATATTCTGTACCTGACCCCTATGCTGTGAAAAAATCCTGGTGAGAACACTGGATATAGATATGTTAGGTTTTATTCGACATTAGGTCGTATGCAACACACTTATTTTATTGTTGTTATTCTCTCTTTATGTAGTTTGCCATACATTGTACCATGTGCAATTGTCGTGCAATAAAGTTTTTCTTATGTCTTCCAGACTTCAATGATAATGATCTACCCCTGCGCTATGACTTTGAGTACACGGCAGCCGACGTCACAGTTGCCTCCGTCAATTCCACCGTCGGTTCCACCTACCAACATCTGCTGTACAGCGGACCGGTCAGTGTTTTATATCCAGAACCGTGCTTCATCCAGAACCATGGCCAGACACGGTTCTGGATTACCCACACGTATCTGTATCTGTATTAGTATAGCCGGTATAACCGCCCTTCGGCGTAACACACTAGCGTATCGAGAGACGTATGATACTTTGTCCCTATATACAAAAATATAAATAAGATTTTACAATACACCTGTAGATCTAGAAAAATCCTAGGGATTGTTTTTCGTACAGTTCATTACGTTTCACTGGTAAATGACAATGTGTGTGTGCATGTTGTCTGTGTGTGTGTGTGACTGTGTGTGCATGCGTGCGCGTGTGTATGTGTGTTTGTGTGGTGTGTGTGTGCTCGCGCGCGTGCGTATGTGTGTGTGTGTGTGTGCATGTGTTTGTGTCTGTCTGTGTGTGTGTGTGTGTGTGTGTGTGTGTGTGTGTGTGTGAGCGCGCGCGTGTTCATGTGTGAGTCCACTGATAAACTGTGTCTTTACGTTTGCTCATAAACCAGGCCTCCAGCACCCCTCCCATCAGACTGCCTACAGGGAACCCAGACAGGAACTTCGAGCTGGAAATCTTCATTCGTGTGACCGATGTCTTCGGTGCCTTTTCCAACACAAGTGTCACAGCACAAGTGTGTATCTAACTCAGCTATCATATATGATATATACACACTGTCATGACACGATAGCTAGAATACATTAGGTACATTTGTTGTGCTGGCGATATACTTTTTATACAGGTTCATGTATTTTTTTAAAGTGATGACTTTTGGAGGCCTTTTTGATTCCTTTTTCTTTGCACATAAAACGCCACATTGCGCACATTTTCATGATTTCCAGGTGAGGCAACCAGAAGAAGTCGAGGAGTTTGTGGAGACGGTTTTAGACAAGTTGGACGTCGATGACCTACAGCAGACCACGTCATCCATCGCCAGCGCGGCGTCTGTGCTGAACATCGCCAACGGAACGGACGTGAAGAATACAACAAGGATCGAGGTTCGCTGAACATTGGAACATTTTACATTGGGAATACTTCTTACATGGCGTCCACAAATAATGTACGAACAGCAGATCCGTTCATGATGCAAAGAGAGCTTTTTTTTCAAGGGGGTATTGGCATGTGACTTCTAGACATTTGTACACACAAAACAATCGGTTGGGTCATCTTGCCGCCATCTTGTAAATCCAAGATGGCGGCAATGACTGTGACCAGTTACAAATTAAGAAGCTATAAAAGAATTGTACTAATTCCCTGTATGTGTCTGGGGATAGATCTGCCAATTTTAAGGCCCTCTAGTAGCTTTCCCTTACACTGCAGCTGTACTTTCTTTTGTATCCGTTATATCTGTTCTTGACATATTTTGGTATTGTTGTGTAATGTTGTGTAATGTTGTCCACACACGTACAGGCCCGTGAGCGGATGATGGATATCCTGGGGCGGGTGGAGGTACAGGATCTGCAGGACGTGAAACAGGTGACCGGCACCCTGGAACACGTCATCAACAAGCCTGAAGAACTGTCAGATGAGTCTCAGGTAAGAATTATTTTTTCACATATCGCTCAAGGCAGCACTCTTTTTGATGTTGTGTTTTCATCGGAGTTTCCCTCTTTAAAAGAGCATATTTTGCTCAAAAAGAGCATGTATCTTCAACGTGCAATTATTACCAAAAGTGATTTCAAACTGTAGTTTTTTTTTCAATTTGTAGGTAAAGGCGGCGGATACATTGATAAAATTAGAAAAGGTGTTGACAAATCAGTCATCTGAAGTGGGAACGGAGGAGCTGGAAATATTAGCGGCGCATCTTGTCACAGGTAAGGAACACTGACAACAAACTGTGGGGTCGTGTGGCGTAGCGGTAGCGTGTTCGGCCCAGGCCTAAGAGGTCCCGGGTTCGAATCCGTGTCACCGATCTTGTGCCATTGGGAAAGGCACTTTATACGACTTTCCTCACTTCCCTCAGCTTCGGCTAGGGACGTCCCTCGGATAGGACGTTAAATGGAGGTCCCGTGTTTGGGAGAGCACGTTAAAGAACCCACCACACTTAGGGGACCTTTCCGGTGTGCATGTGAGTGGTTAAAACCTCACAGTCTGGTCTCAGGTTTGACATCTTGAAGAGGTGATAGTCACCTGTTATGTCAATCCTTCTATATATGTGGTAAATCTTCATAGAATAAAATAAAGATAAAAAGAAAGAAGTTAGATGGAAGATGTTTATAAAGTGAATTCTTATAGCAATGGTACAACTCTGACACAAGCATGTCTGTTTGAGGTGCTGTTAACGTTTTGGAGGCCTCTAGTGAAAGTGCAGGTAGGAAGAGGGAGGAAACCAGAACTCCGAACTTTAAGAAGGTAAGAGGGGTAGATCAAGATACATAGACCCCCTTTCATGTGTCTTGTAAACGTCTTTATAATATTCCTTGTATCTTAGCTTGTATACAGTGTGTTCTTCAGTAACCAGGGACATAGCCTTCTGTAATAGCATTTGGCTAGTACGTGGTTCTATGTTTTGATACATTTGAATAAATCAGACCAAAGTATGATGTGCTTTCAAACATGTTATTTTTTGCATGTCCAGAACGAACAGGCGACAACTACTGCTTTCGAAGCTATTGACAACCTAGCCTCGACGGTGATAGGGAGGAAGTTCCGGGACGAAAAACCAACGTTGGTCCAGGCTAAACAGTTCCTGATGTCCCTTGCGAATTCGAGCTGTGAGGGACTAGGGTTAATACAGACATCCGAGGAGACAAAGGCGTTTTTCCAGATACCTGAAAATACCCCGACAAAGCTTTGTGTCAACGGCACTGTTGGATCTCAGGTAAAACGGAAAACAGCATACTTTCTAGAAAAAAGAATCTGGATATAATTCCATGACAAATTTTACTCTCCTTAACATAGTTAATTTCAACTTGACAATATGGCGGATAAAATGTCGTGACATCTCACCGAGTCACGCGAGAGTTGCAACTTCGGTTTTAGAGGCAAATGGAAAATATTTTGCAAAATCAGAGTCAGGTTCCTAGGCCCATATTCATACATTTCAGGTCCAATAAACCTCAGCCTACTCTAAATATACATGAATTGTGTAAATTGTTTACTATACATGCATTTCTGATGTCAATACTATGTTTTGTATGTTACAGACTTACTTCACTCCACTTAACCCCTTCGAATACGCGAACAACTCCAGAGACGTCAGCACGGCGGTTCTGGGACTTTCAGTTCTCTCTGATGAAAGACGGAAAGTTCTGGTCAGAAACCTTGAGGAAGACGAACGTATCGAATCAATAAATCCAGTACAAAACACTGCACCACCGGTGAATGGTACAGCCATGTCATCTAACAGTGGACAATTAACGGTTAGTTCATGTCACCACTGAACACGTATTCTGATCTTGAGTAATAAATTATGTACATTGACTTAAAATGAACTAATGAATCTATTGACGGAATATATATGTATATATGTATAATGTATATATTTCCTTTTGGAAATCCCACACCCCTATTTTGGACACATGACCTTTTAGATGTACGCTGGCCAAATGTGCATGGAAGTCTATCACGCCCCCCGTCCTACTTGATTGATTTTTACTTTGTGGAAAGGGCAAAGATTGGGAGGTGAGTTCCCTCAAAATTTGAGATGAAATGTTTGGTCAATTGAAGCCCTTAATGTCGAATCCTTTTTATTTTTTGATACATTAGGGTTTCAGATTCAACATCTCAGAACCAGGCGTGGCCTTCTACGTCCGCGTCACCCCTGACGTCACCGGCTATGACGTCAACGTCACGTTGAGGGCTTACCTGAAGCGTGGCGACGTTGTCTCGCCTGGTGATTACAGTCACAACGCCACTCTAACCCGGACTGGGTACACTGCAGACGGACGTACCGTGGCAGGGATGCAGCCGTTTGCGTGGTTCTTAAACCAGTCAACCCTGAACATCAGCGACCAACAGGAAACGTGGACAATAGGTGAGTAATTGTAATTTGTATCCTGCTATTCTGGCCTTAAAGCATTATCTGTTTTCCTACAATTCTGCAATGTAAGACGTTACATCAGGCACTGATTGGCCACTGATCCAACCAGTGGATTTCTGATGAAGGAAAACATTATTGTTTTTGCTACGTTTCCTTTTCCTCTTCCTCTTCTACAAACACTAACCTCTGACCTGGCCAATGACTTGATTTGTTGACGTCTGTCACCATGGTAACGGTGTCGGGTTACATAATGATGCAATTTTATAGTTGGACCATATACATGAATGGAAATGAGTAAGAATTAACAGAGCAGACAATATGCGAAGGTAAACATTATGCATTTGCCTTGCAAATGTTACATTTCTGTTAGTGTAGTTCATTTTGCATTCTTCATGCTTAAACATAGGAATCCAAAGAGTTCCAACTGTTGACGAGAATGGGCGACTATCAGACTCCACTATTCGCTACAACGCCAGCATTACTCCCTACAAATGCCTCTTCTTCAACGAGACGACGGCAATGTGGACTGACAATGGGTGTGAGGTAGGAAGTGTTAAACCGTATGATGTTTGATGTCCAATTATCTTTAAAATAATATGTCGAAATATACGTGCTGTTCTTTGTCACGTATCATGGCATCTTTACATATGGCCATAATACATATTATAAGACAGATGGTTAGTTTACATAACGTTTTATAGTCAGTGGTTTCAGAAGGTTTATTGCTCCGTGAAGGAGGTATCCCTCCTGCAGGAGTATTGTGGTCAGTCGGTTATTTTGCGTTCGCAGCTAAAACACAGGGTTCCCTTTCGCATATAATTTTATACGTCGTCTCCAAACTGTTTACGTTATGTTTTATAGATGTTGTCGTTTTTTAATGCTTTTTATCATTAACCAAATGCCAAATGTATGCCTATCCTATGTGAATTTGTCTTCGTTTTTATAAATCTCTAAAGGTTGGGCCTAAGACGACGGACGAGCAGCTACACTGTATCTGTGACCACCTGACGGCCTTTGCTGGTTTTGTTGCGCCCAACCCGCTGGACTTAGGGAGTGCCTTTACCTTTGACCTGGACAGAAGTGTGATCGCCCTGGTGACTGTGTGTGTCGTCATGGCGCTGTACATAGTGGCAGTCTTAATCGGGAGAAACGCGGATCTGGCCGACGAACGAAAGGTTTGTTTGTTTGTTTGTTTGTTAAGAATAAACCGGTAAACCACCTTTAGACGTAACACGCCAGGTTTGGACATGTACGTACAAGCTGCGTAAGACCGGACTGTAAGGTTTGAACCACTCACACCCGGCCGGGATGGAAACTTTATTTAATACTCTCTGCGATAAGTATGGTGGGTGGGGTGTGGCTGTCACCAAACACAGGACCTCCATTTTAACACCCTATTCGAGCGACATCCCTAAAGGAACCTAGGTACTCATTTTCACTTTGGGGAATTGAGGAAATTTGTGGTGTAAAGGGCCTTTGAAAAGGGCACATGATCGGTGACATCTGTATCTGTATAGCCGGTATAACCGCCCTTCGGCGTAACACACCAGCTTCGCAGGCACGCGGCGCGGCGGCAGCTGCCTACATTACACCGATCGACTTGATGTTCAAGTCCAAATCAAAGGTCAAACTAGCGAAATCAGATAAAGAACTTATTACAGCGTTGTAATCGGTACATAAAAGTCAAAAGTACATAAAGTCAATATGCCAAGTCAATATGCCATTTTCTCCTTACATCTGACAGAGACAGAGGAAAGCACGTAAGGAGCTCTCAAAGACGACAAAGGGAAAGGGTTACCTGTCTCATCACCTGTGGTTGTCTGTAGTGAAGTTTCCTTCAGGCCACTTCACCCGGGTACAGAGGATCTCGTGTTGTCTGTCTCTCCTCATGTCCTTCATGTTAGTCAACATCATGTTCTACCGCGGCGACCGGGACCTCCTGTCAAAGATCACGATAGGAGACGTCAATTTGACACTGCCCTTCAGCTTGACCTCCGTGAGTATATCACTAGAGATAGTGCTGTGTACCTAAAGTGACCTAAAGCCACGTTCAGGTCCGGGTCCGGATTTAAGTCCAGAGGTTTAGGTTCAGGTCCGGACTTGTAAGTCAAGCATGTAAGGACTCGAACCCGGGACCTCTTGATTCCAAGTCGAGCACTCTGTCATTACGCTACATGAAATTTCATTAGCCTTCAGTTTCTGAAGGTTGTAGTGCTTATTTTGACAGTTTCATAAACGCCGCGACTTTTACGAAAACCATTCCAAGTGGACACGTTTTACACTTATTCCGTCTAAAGTGAATGCTACTATTTCCTGTTTGTATATTGTCATCATTGTCAATGATTGTCATCAATTGTCCAGCTAACTTTCGGCCCATACCTTTCAGTTCATCATCGGTCTAGAAAGTTCACTCATCGCTCTACCAATCAACCTGTTCATCGTGGTGCTTTTTCGGTACTCCGGAACAAGGAAGAAAACACCGACGCCGGTAGATGCGTCCAAACTGAAGAACAAGCAAAGTTACGGCGTCCCCCATAAGGGACCGTACGGCGCTGAGCTCGTTCTCCCCCGCTACCTACCGAAGGTTCAGGACGTTGAGTCGGAGTTTGACGCCGAGTACACCGCCGACCCGACCGCCTATATTGAGAAGTTAAAGAAAGACGGAGGTGAGGGATGTAAAATTTGAACCTGTTACACTGCATGAAAAGAGGGATTTACCAATGCTGGTAAATACCAGGTAAGTCTGGTAATGGTTGC